TATATATATAATAGTACTACCTATATAATACTAAAACAAACCACTGTCGAATGTCAAATTTGAAAACTGAATTTTCGTTAATTTTTTATTAAATTCATAATAATTATTGATTACRGTTTAAGACTTTTAACCCAGATTCCGTTACAATACAACTTAACCGTTACCAGGTTACCTTAGCTATATAAATGTTGGTTGTTTGTGGGTATTTTGTTAAAAAATATGAATGTGACAAAAAAAACAACAATGTGATATTCTATGGTGCACAGTGGAATTTTAAGAACACATGTAGTTGACAAAAGTATTATCCCATCTACTCTTTTTTTTCGATAGCTGTGTATAWAAACCATACTGTCTGTCAAATTTATAATGATTCTATTCACATAATATATTTTATTTAAAAAAATTTTATTGGAATCTTATAAAATACTGATTAGCTATAGTTCCTATATACAGACAACCGGCTTCTTATGGTCGGTTCACATGCTTGGTAAATTTATACATATAAAAATGTATAGAAATCGATTAATTGGGCCGATTAGGCTCAACATTTTTTAAGTTCTTAATTGCCAGAAGGTTTTTACAAAAAATATTTTGGAAAAATAAATGTTTTTTTTGTTTGATTTTTTTAAATTACCCGAGAATATAATAATAATAATAATTGATATGAATATATTTATGTTTATTTTAGGGTTGCTATTAGTAATTTATTATTAGGTGCCAATTTTAAAATGTTTTCACCTTAACAAAGCTAAAAATGCGAGAAAATATTATGATTGAATATAATTTTAGTCCTGAATTTTATATGACTGTGTTAAAAATGTTCAATGGAGATTAAGTTCCACCAGAATTTGTCACGGGAAGTTTTGAACATAACTAGCTATGCCGAGTATTAAACGACGAATATATTAACACAAATTCTGAATCATACAGAGTTAGTATTTTTGATGGGYAACGAAGTGCACGAGGATCAGGAATCGGATCARYAAGTATTTTATAAATATAGAGATGATTTGTATAATTATTAAGCCTTGAGGCGTGATGGTAAATTTCCGTTCTTTCCGTTTCCGTATATATATTAATTTTTCATAATCATTATGCCAACATATAGGCACACAAATTTGGCATACGCATTTCGTGTATTATAGTAATTCAATATTTAAATAAATCAATCAACATACTTCTTTAGTTTACAGCAATTAATTATTATAATTTACATAACCTTCTCTGTGACACCAAYGATTTACATTCATCCCCTTTCGAGAGCGTATATGTTTGAATCAAGTTGAACTGCTTGCAAGTAACTCGTTTGGGTGCCACTGTGACGAACGCCGACCAATCTAGAACCAGCCACGGTATAGGTCCAATACTTTTAAGTTTTAACTTAAACATTTATTATTTTTTGTCAGTTTATGGTAATTCGAACGATATTTTCTATTACTATTCGTAATTTTAGTCCAAAAAAAGCTGCCACAACAGTTGAAATGTTTAAGCTAATTGCACACAAACGAATTTTACGCATTTACACATTGTACAATATTATAACTTATATAATACACGATAAACGTATGAATAATGAAAATTAAAAGCTAAAAAATATTTAAGCTATTATATTATCAAAAGACAATTTCCTGACATAACGTGCGATCCTATTATTCTCATGATTTAAATCGCTCGTGATCTATGATGTTATCCAAAAACGCTCACAATTGTTTTTGTTCTCCCCTCTCCCCTCTCCCCTCGCCGTCAATAAAATATTAATGACACTCGATTCTTCCCATATTGACCCAGTCTATTACCGTGGACAACGTCGCGTAGAGTAAATTGGAGGATTAGGTGCCTACAAAGCTAATTGCGGATCGAAATCTCAAAACCGCGTATTAAACGTTCCAAACATTAATAATGGGCAATATATGGGCAATATATGGTGTTATACGATATTTTCGGGAGCTATATAATAAAACGTCGTCGCTTCGTTTCGTTTTGATGGTGTTTGACGGACGTCGTTAAACCTATAATATATAACACTGGCACATGCTATTGATATACACTATATATACAATACATATCATGTGACCTTTGTACACTCTAATCAAATATTGACCRATATACGCTCGGATCGATGGCTTTTCAGACTGCTTATTCGTAATATTATATATAATGCTGCACGTCATACACTCTCCCCGGTTCTATGTGCTCTCGTCGCCGTCGTTGAGTTCGGGTATATGCATACCCATCATAATAATAATTATATAATTTTGTCATTAAAAATTATTATTATCATTGTCATATTATACACTCCACATACGTACAATAATAATAATAATTGCTGTGGCATGCGTTCGTTCGTTTGCGTTTTTTTTCCTTTCGATAAAGGATAAAGCAATATATGATAGACTGCAGAACTATGTCGCGGTGTAATCATCGCCGAACACGCGCGCTATACGTATWTACGAATGTTATATCTGCCGAGTCGTCTGTGTCGATAATAATATGTCATGTTGTGCGGCACCGCCGTGTCCATCAATTCTAACACATGTACGGGATAATTATTGAATACGCCCATTTCCATTGATATAACTGAGATTATTACTCGCACATTTCGTTATAACATAGGACAGACTCCCTAAAAAAGGATACGAATTTGCTAGCAGTTTTACATTTTCATACGTCACTTAGTAGTTGTAGTGGCTGCACAGAAATATTCCAACAAAATCTTATAATCATACAATATATTTTATAAGCATGATTTGTATAAATATAGGTATGTTGTAAAAATTGTTTTTAAATTTTAAGAGATTTTGAATATCTGCTGACTTATTTTAGTGTTAAATTATAAACCGTTTAAAGTAATTCAATTAGTAATTTTTAATGTTCATATCTGATCATTTAATACAACCCTTATGTATTTGTGTATGTCCTTATGATGAGTTGTATAATATTTTTATTAAACGTAATATTAGTTAAGTAATTTTTTTTGTTTTGATAATGTTAAAATGTCATTTTTATTAGGTTATTTTAGATTGAAATCTATTTGTGGTATTCATATCGGGGTTACACAATAATGAACAATAATGAACAAAATGTTAAAAACGTACTTCCATTTAGTTTGCTAATTGACCTAGTTTTGGCTTATCTGTTGATCCAGCCCTGGTTATCGTCGCGCACCCGTTCGCGTTGTCATCCACCGAGTCTCGTCGACTTTATCATATTATAATATGATTGGTGTTATATTATACAGATAACGTGTATCATCAGGTATTACAATATCTTAGTGTTGTGTGCCAGCAATTTAAAATATATCATTGCAGCGTTTGTTCGTAACCTGTTTTCTTCGTTTCGATTTCGCGATGTTATGGCATTCGTGCAGCATAAGTTTGGAGGTTCAACGTGTTGTGGTTGTTACTCAATAATCGCCATCGACTGTAGCCCATCGACGGTCAATGTCCTTCGAATCCGTGTCGTATACAAAATAATTTTAATGATAATTATTACAGTTACACAGTACGTTTTCATTCAATAAACAATAATATAATATGAAGTGCGTCGTCTTTCGTCCGCGGCGGCGACTTGACAAACTCCCATCCCCCCGCCCCCGTCACCAGCAACAAGCCGCACCCGACAGCGCGGCGACGATGACCAGACATTCAGGAATTCGATGTTCGTCAATTCGGCGGAGGGCCATGTGGCGGCCACTCGCGCGTATTATAGCAGTCAGAAAAACCTTTTACGGACGGCGGAATGGTATAATATAAACGTCAAGCGGTGGGAGGAACTCTTTTGTACACGCGCCGCTATCGACGCAGACACCGATGTCGTTTTTRTTCTTGTGCGCTCGAGTTCCGGGAACGGCGATTGCGGTTATAAGTGTAACAACCCTTTTCGCGCGCTGCACAGCAGCTGCTTGCCGGTCGCATGCGGCGGCAACAGCTAGATCCGTTGGCGATCGTGGTCCAGTGTGTCCGCAGTGTTTGACGGCATTTCGCAACCACCCGGCTAACCGGTTCCCGCGCCGCCGYCGTCGTCGGCCACCCTTCGCTCCGGCCGGTTTCTCTGCAGACCTCTACAGGAACCGGTGAATAGAAACACAGAAACGGGTGGATGGACGATCCGCTGCGGTGCACACACAATACAAATGTACGCTTATTATCATGTGGTTCTGTTTCGGTGCTAATAATATTTACGCCGCGGCCAAGTATTGCGTGAACTGCGTGGCCGATGCGGTCACCTTGACATACATGTCGACGCCTGTACAATATGCAAATATCTCTCTTCTTGGACGGCGGTGAGTCGACGAAGGCGGCAGAGGATCGTACACAATACRATATTATAATCCTAATATAATGTAAACTTATTGTCGTAACGACAATAATATTGTAAAGTCGGTTTCGTTATCTTCGGCACACACGTCTTTCGTCGTCCGAGAGTTTCCTCCGCACCGTCAGCGGTCGGCGTTCCCACGCTTGTTCGAGCAAAAGGGGACACCGTCGGTCGCCGCTTCCGGCTCTGTCTCCATAGGTCTGTCCGTCCCCGCTTGTGGCGGCTTCTGTAAAACTCTGGGGATTCTTTCCCCCAAGTGATTGTGAACCACGGCCGCTGTTGATGTAAAAAGTAGGGACGACGCTCCCTGGTGCGTGTGCGTGCGGGTGTGCGGTTGGCCGCGCTTGTACGTGCGCGCGCGTTCGAGTGGGACCGTTCGCTAGAGTGTCGATGGCGCGCCGTGCATGCGTGTTCGGTGTGCCCGTGTCTGGTCGACGACGATGGTACGCTGTATCTCATACCAAGAGCGGTGCGGCGGCGGCAGCAGAGCGTCGTTGGCGGCGGCGGCGGCGGTGTTGGAAGCGGCGGTCGGTGGTGGCGGTGGTGGTGGTAGCCGTACAACCTTCGTAACGGCTGCCGCCGCCGCGCCTCCTGTCTGCCTGCCTGCCTGCCTGCCTGCCTGCCCGCCTCGTGCGGTCGGTTAGTCTGTAGTGCGCCGGCCGACGGAACAGAACGAGAGACTCGATAGCCAGCAGCAGCACACCACCCGCACGACAGCTGCTGCTGCGACCGCGTGTATAGTCTGTGTATGCGCGCGCGCAATTAATAACAATAATATCAATGATACGATGTATACCGGCGTATTCTTTGTATAAGCCGTGGACTTAACGAATATTATTATAATTCTCGTAAGTATTTTTTCACTCATCGCCCACTACTTTACGACTTAAATACGACTCGCACACAATATAAGATAATAATATATTATAGTATATAACAGTATATAGTATTATAGTATATTATTATTATAATAATTATTTATAATGTTATCATGTATATTTTAAATTATGATATTATTGTGCCACCTATGTAATATTATCACGTATAGTATTTGAGTGTATTGGCAGTGTGTGCTATGAACAACACGTATAATCGTATAAATGTATGACATAATATCCATTATTGGTGATATTATAATACATCGTTCGCCGGAGGTTTTACCCGGTGGCATCAGACACCACCTGTCACCGGCACCCGCTGTATRCTGTTGGTTGTTGCTGCTTAGACTTGTCTCTGCTGCAGACGGGTGCTTGTCGTGAGCGTGGTGATTACCCTGCCGTACTCCTTACCGGTTTTGTTTTTGTCACGCTCTTCTTTTACACATCGTGCTCCGACGGCGACGGTATGTAACGATCGGTGGCCACCTCGGCGCGCGCGCTATGATATACACCGCCGGCCGTCACCGAATTTCGTTGCGAGTGACGGTGGGAAACCCCTCTTTTCACCCGCCCTCCACCGCAGCCACGCGCGTTGTGTAACCATCGCGAGCGCCAGAGCTGGGAATCGATAAACCTGACGACGACGACAAGCCCTCMACCATAATAATACACTACAACGTGCCAGCAGCAGTAACACAGCAGCAGCAGMAGCACTACACACCGCCGCCACCATTACCTCCATCGTCATCGTCGTACCACTTGTTTTGAGGACTCGCGCATAAGGGACATACGACGGACATCCGGGCAGCGGCCACATCGACAGGACACAGAGTTCCTGCACTTAAGGGCCCTCTCGACTCATTTTTTCCGTTACACCTTTTCTGCATTCCCAGAATAATATATCTCGTTATCTCCGATCTTGCGAGTCATGACCACCTCTGACCTTTATAACACTTTTATAAGGCTTTCCGTGTGTCCAACGACTATGTAAATTAACCGACGCCCGGAAATAACAATGAGGTCGTTTCCGTCGTCGTCTTTTTTCGCGATCTCTCGTGTCTCGACAGTTTTGGAGCGGCGAAGGGACTTTGAGCGAATGTAGCCATACGTGTGCAGAAACCCCTCGTATGGGCGGGACTCCGGTCTTCACACGTATACGATATAAGTATATATTATATAATCGTCTTCGGGTCGTGGAAGTGTCCGAAATGCACACTCAACGATAGGGAGAGTCGATCGTTTGGGTCAAATATTTCGCACCAGAAATTCCTGCCCTGTTCTACTCGTATAGAATAATCGACTTGTACGCAGTTTTTTGGTCGCAGTGTTGTGTCATTGTCGGCGATGGTAGTCGTTAATATTATTCACAAATTACACGTTATCGCGTACTCTCGTCGTGTATACGAGTAATATCATAATAATATTTCGGTTTTTTTATTATCATCAKTACGTCGACCACGGCGGACGACAACTGTGCACTGCACCGGAAACGCCGTCCGCTAGCGTGCGTTTCGCGCTCGCGTTCATCCGCTAGTCGAGTGCGCGMGTATTATTACATTATATCGTTGCGTTTTGCGCGCTCGACGTCGCGGCGGCGGCCCACTGGTTATTTTTAAACCCCCGCMGCGTGACACCCTCTTGAGGCTATGCACAACTAAAACRGCCGTTCTCGTTCGTACAATACTTCTGTGTAATAATAACCTCCCGACCGCCAGCCAAATGCTCGTCGTGGCACGAGTGTCGGCGAAATTAACCAAACCATAGTCCAGCATATTTTATACCTACTCTCGCCAGTCATTTACCCTACAGTCGAGAKACCGACGTAAGTACACGATATTATGATATTGTCCACTCCCCATGGCAACACGAAAAATGCAACGAATAGGGTCTTCGAAGACTATATAATAGGTATAAACCCATCTGTATACGCATACGTACCCGGATATGGGAGGGGTCTCGGTCAGAAAGACTTCCGAGTGACGCATGCGTGTATATAGTATATATGCCGTGGACCGAAAGCTGATGAAGATGAGGATTGTCGTTGGTCATGCAACAWACGCATTATTGTAATCCATTGGTGGCGCGCGTAATTTATTTCTGGAATATCTCGTGAGCCGTCTGTTACATGCTGCTCGACGTTTATTGAACACTTTTTTCCGCGTTTCCGACTGCAGTGTTATCATATACATGAAACATATAATATCGTCTCAACGTTTATGTACTCTCATCGACTGAACGAGTGTATATTATTATTTGCGTAGGTTATTTGTAATAGAATTCGATGACGAAACACGACGCACAAAATATAATAGCAGCGCTCAGAGCTTATTGTAACTTTTCGGTAATATTTCTTAGGCCACCATTAAAATATCAATAAGTTTGTTCTTGTGCTAAAAGTCTCGGAAACTATAATCTACGCAATTTTTGAATAAAACCAAAAAATCGTGAAATCGGCTTCGTTTCGATTCCGTCGCCGTCGGTATATCATCTCGCGTTGTTTACCAACTCCGGCGATGGTGCTGAGCATTTCTGTATTATTTTTATTATTATTAAACTCTTCAGAGATTGTTATATAGTATTTGCAACGAAACGTATAATCGAATTAAAAATTGCAATCAATCGGGGGCGCGGACGAGTTTTTTCCACCGTGGTATACGTCCATTTGGTGCGGTAGGTACATTAAAATAATACACTACGACCGGATTGTTGTTGTATGTATATATTATAATAATATACCGACTAGTTACGTTTTAGCGTCAGCGGCCTTGGCACAGAGTAGTTCGTATCGTCTTCCTTCTCGATTCATAATAATAATATATACACGAAGCAACGCTAATAATAAAGCTAATGAAGCGTGACACGACGACGATGACAATTAAACACGCGCGCGTACCGTGCGTGTGTGTGAGTGTGTGTGTATGTGTGTATGTGTGTATGCGTATGTTTGTTTGGCGGCGTATTCTGCAGCGTACATCAGCCGCGGTCGATGTATAACGTTTACCCAACGCTTATAACGACTTTCGTACAAAATTAGTTTGGTTCTAGATCCTCCTTCCCCCCCCCTCCCACCGAAACCACAACTTATCCGCCTGCACGTATTACAATGATAATAATAGTGTAATAGACTTTTATCTTCGCGCGCGCTGAAACCGCAGCAATATGTCGTCACTCTGCGCGTACAACACTAATAAGCAATAATGGTTGTAGATCCTAAAAATTCAGATTATGCAAGCGRCGTCGTAACGTAATAATTATAATACTGAGAAAAACGCTCCAGTTGCGGGATTTTATGATTTAATATATTAATGTGTCACACACGACGGAAAGTCGACAAAATATACCAAAAGTACGAAAGTTAAATTTTYGGACGCGTGACTTGACAGCAGTACGGCAATGCCAGAACCTAGACGTCGTAATTGCGATGGAATACGACATAATAATTTTATACTTGAGTTATAATTTCAAATATATTCGGTTTACTCTCCTGTCGTACATGYTTTCGGGACATGTTGAGATGATGTATTTTGTATTCAGAGCCTCTTGGCTCTTAAAATGCAGCGACGGCGCGTAGTATACAATAGTGATAATATACAACTCATATTGTGTTATGTGTATACTGTAAGTTATAGGCGCGTTCAAACGACGACGATGATGACGAGAAGACTACCGCGGTCGCCGCTCCTTTTCCGTCGTGTCTTGGTCGATGACGGAATTGTAGCAATGCACATATCCGTCTCTTTTCCTCCTACCCACCAACACCCACCCACCCAACTCCCCATCCATCGATGCGATACCAGTGCTACGGCGGCTGAAGCGTTAAGCGATTGTAAAGAGCGCGCGCGCGCGCCAAGGTTCAGTCGGTCGACCGGGCATAATCGTCGTATCGCCGTGACTGTACCCGTTATCATCGTAACATAATAATGATAATAGTATGATATTATACAAATTGTGCGATAAACATAATATTATGTGATTTTATTTAGCAATGCATAATATTTTACACGTTATAAATACATACCCGTAAACTCGGGTGTCATGAAGTCCCATCGGCGGAGTGCGTAGGTACACACTGTGATGGGTAGGAGGGGGGAGATTTAAGAACCAAGTCTTAAAGGTAATTTTTATTAAAATATGGTATCATATTATCATTGATTATAAATATAACTATTCTTTCATTTTTATTATTTTTATTATTATTATTGTTAGCTATTATGATAAACAAACATACAATATAATACAAAATACAACAATAGCTTTTTTTCGAAAAGTTGCCCCGCTACACATTGATCTCATCAATAAGCCTTATGCTAATGCCGGGTTGTATGAAAAAACGAATCGATATTGAGCTAATGGTCCCTTAAACATGATTTAGTGAGTGAGCTTCGATTGATCCATCGAGTTATACATGACCCGGCATAAGTATACGATATATACCAGTATCCTTGGTCTTCGAAGAACGTGTTAATATTAAATATGACATAATAACAATGTTTTCTTATTAATATTTAATACTATTTCTTATTTGTGTAATTACCTTGTTTTTCCTGATGCTCTTTTTGTTTTTCAAATTTCTTGATTTTTTTTATACTACATTTAGCTTTCTATAGTTTTATCAATAGAGATTACGTAAAAAATAACTTACAAAATAGTTTAACAAAATTTCATTCCAAAATCCGCATTCATAGAGTCGTATAAATAAAAATAGGAGTCGCAAAAATATAATACAATTAAATTGTGTASACGTATTTTAAAAACTATGACAATTTATTTTTATGTTGGTATAGACTATAGTTGAAAATTATTTTTAGTAATGTGTTGGGGGTTTGGGATTATTACTAGGTATTACTCGCGTGGCAATTATTGTGTTTCTCGTGGACTTTTGTTTTCTCGTCAGCCACATTATATAATATATATTTTATTGTCCGATAATAATATAGTATTACCATTATTGCACGTGATAAACTGCCAAG